GGGAACCTGTGATCCAATTGAGACATAATCCGCGATTTACCCCCTCTAAGGTTCTAGGGACAAGGATCTTGGGGGGTTCAGGATTTAGTTTAGTGTAAGTTGGGATACCTGGATATTAAAAAAAAAGAAAAAAAGAATAGTTTGTATTTCTATCATATTCAACATTAACCGAGCATGGGTAGCGTAAACGCTAAGCAACTGTAAGGCATCATGCATGTTTCTAGAGAAAAGGTAAATAATCCGTGATAACCGCACCACATTTATACGAAAAGTCAATGAAAGAACTGTAGTCAAATGCATATGCAAGCCATTGCAAGCAAAAGATTAATATATCGAAAAATATATAACACAGCTACATTTGTGATGTAGCATCAAGTTATCTCAGTTTCGGATGCATAATATATCTTGTGAATGTTCAATCCCAAACATGCATGCAACAGAGCAACTATTATGAAAGAATCTGAGACCTCGTTTCTAAAAGCTCGACCAATCTGCGCAACTGCAAAAGGGAGCCTTTTTCCCATTGTAGTATTACAAGTTTCTGAAGTTCACAAAAATCCCTTCAGCCATCTCAAAAATCGACTTACAAAAAGATTTATATTAAAAAAAATCATTAAATTAATGCAATAAGTACAAATTTGCATAATCCGAAGTATAAATACACATTCTCACCTAGGGCTCAAAGCGGATGGATTTAGTGATATCTGAAACATGAGATTGAATGGATAGGGGTCGGAGAGGGGCTCTTAGCCCCCGTTTGGTCCCCATTTTCTAAAAGTGAAAATGAATGGATTAGTGTTTTTTTGAAAAATGAGTAGCTGAAAAAAAATGAAAGTTTTCGATTTATGTGTAATATTATTTTGTGGAAAATTATGTGATTGAAAATAGAAAAGAGAAAAATAGAATGTAATAGAATTTAAGGTAATGAGGGCCAAACTAGAGCTTAATATCTGGAGCTGAAATGACATATTCCTTGATCTTTGCACCGAGCTCTTCAGCAGAGAGGTCAACTAACATGGCAAAGCACGTGCCTCAATTCCGATACCTTTTCCACACTTAGCTTAAGATATTTCCCAAGCTTGTCTCTGCAATAATCCTTTAGCACGTGATCATACGAACTGTATGCAGTAAAAAAATTCAAAATCTCAATTAAAGAAAAAAATTTAATTCACTCAATTAGTAATCACAGTTTGTACGAATTATTGATTGAAAATGGAGGCAGCGGATCCAGGATTTTGAGTCAGTATAAACGGTTGTTGATCGTCGATCGTCGACCGCAATAAAATATTAAGCGCCCGTTTGATGTCATTTTCTTAGCAAAAAAATGCATTTTGAAATAGTGATTTGATAGAGAATGTGTAGTTAAAAATAAATGAAAGTTTTGAATTTGCGTATAATATTTATTTATTAAAAAAATGTATGATTAAAAATAAGATGGATGAAAATGTATTTTGAAATAAATGAGAATCAAACAAGGCCTAAAATTTAAATATAACAATTATTTTGTTTCAATTGAATGTATATAATTTTGTTATAAGAATAAATTGTATTTATCAAATGACATTATTGTCAAGTTTCGTATAATTTCAATGAAGAGTACAAGTTTGGATGATTGTAATTGCATTAAAACCAGATGTAACACATAATATTTTGTTAAACTTAGAGTGAAAAAAGAGCAATTGCCATGATGGTTAAGCTTGCAATGATTTTAGCACAAGGTCCTAGGTTCAAATCTCTTCTGGCACTGAATTAATTTTGGTAAAAACAAAGATTCTAGTGCTAAAAATATTGCAAAATAACTCGGTTGCCAAAAGATTCGAACTCGAGACCTGCATCATGTATATGCACAATCTAACTAACTCGGCCAGAAGGAATGATTGGAACAAAGATGAATTACCAGTAATATAACCTAAAATGTTGATTGTTGTCAACCAAAAAAAAAAAAGAGCTGTTAGAGGATTCAGGACGCACGACCGCGGGAGCTCGCCAGGTGCTGGATCAGCCAGTGGGAGGTGTAGAAATAAGTGGTGCTCGTTTATCCTCTCTCCCAATCAATAATTATGGCTTTCCTTTTTATTTTTTGGTCTAAATATGGAACAGTGAAATGATAGAAATCACAAATGAACAGTAATCTTCAAATTCCTTCATTTCACATTGAATAAAGATGATAATATATATTAATTTAAATTTTTTAAATTTTGAGTTATGTTATTATTAGAGAATAAAATACAAATTCAAAATTTTAAAATCCAAAGCAAATGAATTTTTAACGGGTGAATTATCCAGAAATAAAATTAAGGCAAATTTTTTCTTCTTCATGAGGCCGAGACCTAAGACCGGGTGGCGACTTATGCCTCGCCTCGCCCTGCTAACCCGATGGGTTTTTTTAGAGATTGGGTTCTGCCAAGGCGGGACGGATTTTTCTGCCACCTCTACTTTTTAATAAGGTTGATTTTTTAAGATGAAAACTCATATTTTAATATAATATCAGAGTCCATTAAGTTAAAGCGAGCAATTCGATTCAATTAAAACTAAAAAATGAGCACGTAAATCTCAAGATTGATTTGCTCAAATGAGCTACCATCTTGCGGGAACGTGTTAAAGGATAAAATTTCACATCGAATAAAGATGAAAATTTGGACCCACTTATATAGACTTGACTATTTTTCTTAATAAAGTTAACATTTTAAAATGGAATTCCAAGTTTTAATAGTGACAATTGGCAAGATTGACCCGAAACAACTGCCACTTTGTTTTCTACATTGCTTATAATATGGAATTCTCCTGGGAGCAATGCTACAAGTACAACAGTTTGATATCATAGTTGACAGTTCGCTAACATACAAGAGGAGGGGCCCACGATTAAAATGATTGCGGGTCCGACAATTGTGTACACACATCATTTTCCTTCTCCTAGTTCTCTCAATAGGGCTATCAAAAATTGTTGTAATACTATAAAAAAGTTGGGGAATAAATGAATTCTATTTTCTTCCGTGCTTTGTCATCATTGTGGATGAATATTCTTAAAAAGAATACTAGTGTAAAGCACCAATCTCAATGATTTTTGCATGACATTAAATAATAAATTTATTTAAATGTAACGTCACACGATTTATTTAATTGAACATGTCAAATGTGGCTACTTAAACTGGCGTTAGATAATATTATTCTTTTAAAAATTAAAGAATTAATAAAGAGAATCCTTTTTGCCGAATGGTTAATGATTTGTAAACCTGAGTGTTTAAACATCGACAAATTTTTACTTTTAAAAAAACTATTATAATCTCATCCATTGAAATCTAAGAAAGTTTAAATCGAGAACAAAGTTTACCTTTGTTTGATGTCTATTAAAAAGAGCTTTTTTTTTCTTTTTTTTTTTTTGGAAAATGAGTTTTGGAATAGTGATTTCTTGGAGGATGTGGTTAAAAAGTCGGGGAAATTTTGATGAGTATGTCAGAATATTTGATTAAAAATGAGTTTAAAAAAAAAAAAATTGAAGAATAGTAGACAAACATGGACTATTATGCACTCGATTTGCTTAGTCGGTCCAATAATTTTTTTCAACAATTTCTGTGCTGAATCAATTTCAAACGGCGCTATCCAACACATTTGGACAAACTAGCCTCTTTACTTTTTAAGCCAAGCTGCCTGCCCAATGATGCGCCAAACTACACATTCTCTGATTTTCTTCTTCTTTCTCTCGTCCCCTCCTACTTCTACGTCCGTTCATGCGTACACAACTATTTATTACACACTCTTCCATTAATTTTAAAATGTAACAGTAATTACTTATTTGATAGTAATTTTAAGTACTTGTATATGTATATTATGGGACTAGTATGTAATAAATAGTAAGTTTCACAGACTATGTGGATAAGAAAATTAATAATGCTATTTACAGTCGTTCATTGCCATAATTATCCTCCGTGACATATACGTGACGATTAGTCATTTGATGCATAGTCGTCACATGTATGCCACGTAAGGCGATTGCGATAGTCAACGACTGTAAATAGCATTACTTTAAGAAAAATATTTAGCTCCTATTTTGCCTAATTAAAATTTAATAAAAGTCAACAATTAATTTAACCAAACAATATTTCATGGAACTCACAAATTTTCAATCAAATTTATCAACTTTTATTAAAATCTATTAAAAATCTTATTTTTATCTAAACCAAACAGAGACTTAAATAATATAAGTTTTGCCGAAACATACCCTAAGAGTTGAAAATGAAATAATTAACAACAAAAATTCTCTTATTTTTCAATTTGATTATCGAAAGAGTGGATTTATAGCCCGTTTATTTCTCATTTTTGGAAAAATGAGAATAAAAAATATAGCCGTTACGGACTCCACGCAAGAGATAGAAATTCAAATTTAATGACTTGATGTGATGGATAACGATTATATTTTCATTAAAATGAAAATAGAATGGGAACCAAACGGGGTTAATTTCCTTAAATAAATTTAAATCTCGTGCTTAGCTGCTCCCAAGTCCTTGCTGGAATTTTTGAAATCGACACGAGAGAAGAAAAATGAGCCCGCAAACACAAGAAAACAAAAAACGTATAAAATATAACTGTAAGTGATAAATGGAAAAATTTCACCCTTGATCCCCAACTTATTGGTCAAGTTTCAATTAGTCCTCAAGTTGTTTTAAATCAATCTCCAACCTCTCATTTTCATCCCTTAGCCCGGCTTAATTTCGACCTCCATAGTCCAGAGTTATGCCACTAGATTAAGGATCTCAAGACTCACACTTATATTAGTACATAGAATTTTGAAGTAAAGTGTATTTTTAGGGAAAACACACAATTAACATCAGTTTAAACGTTTTTTCTTCATTAGAGACCGACAATAGAACCAAAATCATGGATTAAAGTTCAACATACTATATAGACAATAAATTGAGGACTAATTATGCAAATTTTCCGTACTGAACAACAAGTTCCTTCTGAAAAAAGTAGTTGCATAAAAGAAAAAGATAACTGCTGAATCGTGCTGCCACCTTCCTCTCACTCAACTCACCTACCCCATCCCCCAAACCACCCACGAGCCTCGCGCTCCTCATTTCTAGCCCTTTCCTTCCCCCAATCTATACATACACACACTGCTACGTCTCTTTCTTAGCTTCTCAAATTTTCCCGGTTGAATTTTTGTGGTTTTTAATTTAAATACTCTACAGATGGAATCTGTTTCTTGTTTCTCCCTTCTTTACTGTTTGATGTGATGACTATTCTCACTAGTCAATGACTTTTTCTTCACGTTGTTTCAGTAATTTGCATCCGGTTTTATTACTGTTAATCTTATTGTTTTTACTGGGAAATCCCTGTTCAAATTCAGTTTGCGTATCAGTTGCTTCGCTTGACTCAGATTTTGACTCGGATTTCGACTCGGATTTACTGCTATTCCACCAGGACTACACCCCGCCGGCGCCGCCTCCTCCGCCGCCGCACCCGCCGCCGCTTTCATGCGATGAGGGTCTTGGCGGCATCGGCTCTTTGGATACTACCTGCGAAATGGCTTCCAATTTGAACCTCTCCAACGATGTCTACATAGCAGGGAAGGGAAATCTTGTAATTCTTCCCAATGTTAACATAAGCTGTTCCTCGTTTTCTGGGTGTGAAATTGTGATAAATGTTACTGGGAACTTTACTTTGGGAGAGAATTCGACAATAGCAAGTGGTACTTTTGAGTTGTTTGCAGATAATGCTAATTTTGGGAATAATTCAGCTGTGAATACTACTGGATTAGCTGGGTCGCCACCGCCTCAGACTAGTGGGACCCCCCAGGGGGTTGATGGGGCAGGTGGGGGACACGGAGGCAGAGGGGCAGCTTGTTTAACAGACGCAAGTAAGCTCCCGGACGACGTGTGGGGTGGGGATGCATACTCGTGGTCGAGTTTATTAAAACCTTGGAGTTATGGAAGTAAGGGTGGGACCACGAGTCGGGAAATTGACTATGGAGGAGGTGGAGGCGGGAGGGTAATGTTGATGATTTTGAGGCTTTTGGAGTTGAATGGGACTGTTTTGGCGGAAGGAGGAGATGGAGGTACTAAAGGTGGAGGTGGTTCTGGTGGCAGCATCTACATCAAGGCTTTTAGAATGTAAAAAATTTCTTTCCTCTTATTGCCATTTTCATTAAATATATTGTTACTTATGAGTTTAGTAAGGCTCATATATTCTAATTTTAGTTTTGACTGATGACTTATTATTGCTGAGGCTCACTATAGGATTATCTTGGACATTGGAATTGCTAATGTGGGGGTGCAGAATACTGTTCTCCGGTATTGGTCTGAATGTCAACTAGATAAGGTCCATCATTGTGCAAATTTGTAACTCTAAGGTGGTTTGATTCAAAATGACTGCAACAGGAATCTATGAGGCTAATGTATAACTAAAACTGCCACCATTACCTTTATGAATTTGATTATTGCGTTGGCAATGCATACAGTTAACTTCACTTCGTCTTCCTGTCGTAGGGTTAATTAGATGCTTTCTGTCATAATCAGTCAAGTGGAAGTACATATTCCCACGATACTATGGTTTTTATTGTCATTTTGCATTTTTATTCAAGCTTGTAGGGTTTTGGTTTTTCTCATTTATCCACAATGTTGGTACTAAAAATTGGAACCATTATTCTACTAGAATTTTTATAATCTTCCAATATTTGAAGATATGATATCTCCCTACTCTTTTGGTTTCTCTCAATCTTTGATTACGTGGATGTCCATGAATTTTCATTATTCTTTCACACTCTGTTTTCAAGTACAAAAAGATCATCTAAGTGTTGAACTTTTAGGTTCTTAATTATAACATGGTTTTTCTACTTTCTTCAATGGAAAATTGAGGTATATCACATGAATTATACTTCTTTTCCAAATAAAGATCACTGACGTTTTTTCTGGGACACCAGCATGCTTGAATTAAAACATTCTTCTTTATTCAACAATGCTGGATTGATTGATTTTGCTAGCTTCAAACCCAACTGTTCTAAGGATAAGGAGAGGTTATTAAAATATAGCTCATATTATTCTCCTCCTTAGACCAACCATCTATCTAGTTAGCTTAAAGATTAATATATACGTTAGTTTCCCATTTTCAGTTTTTATATCAATTTATTCTTGTCTACTTTATGACTGTTGATTGATAAAGAAAAAAATGATTGTCATGTCCTTAGATACTCAGATTTACTGAGAAACACTGTAGATATGAAGTTGATACGTTTTTAATGCCCCTTGTTTTATTGTGAAGTGCAGGATTGGAACTGGTAGCATAAGTGCTTGTGGGGGTAACGGTTTTGCTGGAGGGGGCGGTGGAAGAGTTTCCGTCAATATTTTTAGTAGGCACGATGAACCTGAGATATCTGTAAACGGTAGGACCTCGGACATGTCTTCTAATATTGTCTTATAGTTACAGTTTTCGTCTTTACCTCTTATTTCCTTGTCAACAAGTGTTAACCATTTTGCCCCGTAAAATATGGACTACCCTTTCCCCTTAGAAACTTGGAAATGGCAAAGATGGGAAAGTCTGCTGTCAAGGGGTTCTGCTGTAATAATATGTTAGCCCATCCAGATTGCCAGCTTGCAGATACTCGGAAAATTATTGTGGATGATGTCAACCGTTCCTCTTATGGGCAATTTGGATCCTTTCCCTTTTCTTTCCTTCTTTTTTTTGGTGGGGTGGCAGTTTAAAGTCTATATGCGGACCAGTTTTTGAAAATTAAATGTGTGCCATGTTCCTGTCACTTGTGCATCTGGTATTTCATACGAGACACAGCTTTAGCTTATTTGAGGGTAGTTGATCACCCAGTTGTTCCATTCACTGGTAGACCATTCTTTAATCTCCTCGAGCTTGAACGATTGTCTCATCTATTTATGATTCAGTGGTCTCTTATCAATTCTATTAACATGTGAGAAAGTTTGATCCTCGTTTTGCTTTGTGATTCAAAGCAAAAGTCAAGAGTTAGAAAAGGGGAAATTGGAAATAAATTGATTTTTCAGTTTTAATTGTTTGGTTTTGCAGAAAGTTGAAGCCAAGTAATGAGTAAAATGAGATTAAACCCAAGCTAGTTCAAACTCTAGTAAATTAGCTGATAGGTTTAAAGGTGTGTCACAAGCCACCCTTCCTTTCATGCCCTGCTTATTGATCACAGCTGTAATGGTAAACTTTTATTGTATTTTATATGATATTGGCCCAAAAATTTACTGTTTCTATCTTAATTACACGCGTAATTCAAATGATGCATATCAGGTTGTTTTTATGTCTAGCTGTCTAAAGTTACAATGCTTGAAAGCATGTGGTCTTCTGTTACACCAAAATTTTGAACCAATGCAAGCTTCATTCATGTTTTTTTTTTTTTTTTTTTTTTTTTTTTTTTTTTGGGGGCGTTTTTTTTTTTTTTAGGAGGCAGTAGTCTTGGTTGCCCGGAGAATGCAGGTGCTGCGGGTACATTTTATGATGCTGTTACTCGCAGCCTTACAGTCAACAATCACAACAAATCAACAGATACAGATACCCTTCTCATGGAATTTCCTCAACCATTTTTGACTAATGTCTATATATGTAATCAGGCAAAGGCTTCTGTTCCTTTGCTGTGGAGTCGTGTCCAGGTCAGTAATGTTCATATGCTTATTCCTGCATCCACTATAGGAAGCTCGAAATCTGTAATGCTCTTATGTCATCTAATTACCTGATATCTGGAAATATATACCATCTTGTTGAATATTGCGAAAATGTATCCTTTTGACTTTCTTGCATGACGAGGAATATGTTTAGCCTCATGGTTTGATGTTCAATCCTTTTTCAGTTAACTTGTTTAGATCAGATGCTGAAAATTGTTCCCTTCTGGTCTGCTCATATGGCACGTGTAAAATTTTAAAATTTTGTTATGGTATGACATGATCCTTTCTTCTTTTCAAGTGCGCCTGTTTTTCAGTTACCCACATATCTTGACTTTCTGCTCTATTATTTGGCATTATATATACGCAAGCATCTCCTTCTTGCATTCTTTACCTTGTATGTAAAGAAAACCTACTTTGCAGATTATAACCTGTTTCTTTTGCTAACCAAAAACTTCATTAAGATTATTTAAATTACTTATTTTAGAGTAATTCTATTCAACATTAGTCTCAACTATCAAGCGTCAGTCTAGGTGGCAACTGCATGACATTAAATGATATATTCACTTAAATACAATGCTCATGAGTCATTTAATTGAACCTATCAAGTGTAGCCATTTAGACGGGTGATCTGGCACCATCGGTGTGTTAGATAACGTTATTCCTTATTATTAATTTCTGAACAAAATGACTTTCTGAACACTGAAAGTATTAAAAAAAATTTTAGTCAAGAATCTCTAGAATATGATATGAAACATCTATGAAAAGGGCTTCAATTTCAGGATGGAATTGCAAATTTTGGGTCCAGAAATATTTATTTGAGCATAAAAAGATACAATTAGAGAATTTTATCTAGAATAATTCGATCCTTTCTGCCAATTAATTAAGTTTCAAATGAATGAGATGAATAAAAAGAATTATTTAAAGGAAAGAAGTGCATAAGTTAAAACTAGGGGTGGGCGCGGGTCGGTTCGGTTCGGTTCTCTTTAGAACCGAACCGAACCAAACTTTTCGGGTATCTAGTAAATGGAACCGTCGGGTCCAAATATAATTATAGAACCGTTCAGGTTCGGTTCCATTCGGTTCGGTTCGGATCGGTTCGGTTCTGTACTATAATTAAATTTTTTAACATTTATAACAACGTTATATAAATACGACTAATGATACATTCAATAGTTTTGGAATGTCAGAGATTAGTAAACTACCTTATTCAAATGATCACTACGATCAAAGGTTCAGTCGGGGAAAGTCACGGCTTCGATCGGAGGTCAGAGTGTCGGCCGACGATTGTATAAGTTTTGGAATATTAGATAGACTGCGAGAGTGAGTGCGAGAGTCGAGACAACGTTATGCACTTTATTGTAGGTATTTAGGGTTATTTAGTGGATTTGATCTTGTTTGGCTAAGAAATGAAACAATAAAATGAGTAATTGGGCCAAAAATTAAAAAATTAGAAATGAAACAAATTATTGGGCCAAAAATTTGGATTTAGAAATCATTAATTTGTTAATTTATTTAGAAAAAATTAAAATTAAAATAATTTGATTTACTCAATATAAAAAAAAATTAGAAAGATTCGGTTCTTATTCGGTTCTTCGGTTCTTGGTCTAGAACCGAGAACCGAATCGTACCCGTCGGTTCTCAATTCAGATACCCGTTCGGGTATTTAATTTGACAAGAACCGTCGGGTTCGGATCGGTTCGGTTCGGGTTCGGTTCGGTCGGTTCGGTTCGGGAGATTTGCCCAGCCCTAGTTAAAACGGAGATAAAAAAAAAGTTGTTACTGCAAAGAACGTAAAAATGATTGGAACCCATGAGAAAATATAATTACTCCTGTCACAGTTATATTGTTTAAGTGTGGACAGTTACAACTTTAATTATTGTTGTTATTGTTATTGTTATTATTAGTATTTTATTTTTTTGAAAGTATAGAGTTTTGAAATGGTCATAGATTCAGTTCAAGTGTTATTAAAACTATTGTGAACTTTGAAACTGTAATATCTTAAAGAATCTAATATATTATGTTAGCTGAAAGTGTTGAGTTGAATGATGCTAAACATGGGCAGCTTATTTCTTGGAGATGGACCTTCAAAGTATCCAGTGGTTTAAAATATATATATATAGTTACAAGAATTTTTACCAAAAAAAAAAAAAAAATAGTAAAAACAATTTTTAGAAAAAAATTCTTGTCAAGTAAGGTCACACAAAATTTGTTAGCTTCTAAAGGTGGGTGCTTGCATTTCCAATGAATGAGCATTTTGTTATCTTTTTAACTATTTCAAAGTTTCGAACAATCATATCATATAAATATACTTTCGAATGACATTATTTACCTTTATAAAGATTATATACAGATAAATAATGCAAATACATGGATAACTTTTTCTGTGTGTGTGGGGGAGAGAGATTCAACTAATGATTTTTTTTATGTTTTCAGAGCTTAATTTATTTTTTTAAATGCTTATAAGTTGTGGGTCCTACAGAATATCTGGGTAATAAGTGGGTAGTAAGTTGTGGTTCTTACGAAATGTGCACACAAATAGTATTTTGACCAGCTTAAATTAAAATTTAATCTTTGACAATTATGCACTAACATAGCAAAAAATATTAGAAAATGATAATGACGTTTTATAGCATCTAAGAGGAGTGTAATGAAAAACATAATTACTCAGTTCAAGTCCCCTCAGGGCCACTCATCTGACCGTAGACTTTAGGGCCCCGTGGAATTAGTCGAGGTGCGTGAGATGGCCGAGAGACCCATGGTCTATATATATATTTTACGTATTTACTTTTGAACCTTGTTACATATCCCTAAATGGGTTTTGATCTATCTTGTCATAATTGAATGATGGACACTACCAAATATTTCCCCTCATCAGATCTTAGTCTCTATAATGGTTCAGTTACGCTCTGGTCCTTTTGAGTTATGTATGCTAGATTTTGAGTGGGTATGAATGTGTCTACTTTGTGTTCTCAAGAGGAGAGTGGACCATACTAAACACCTGTTGTGGTTGGTTGGTTGTAAAGGATCCAAATGCATTATTCTTTCACTAGATGTAGCGATCCACCAAACAGAGTGAAGTAAAAGGACTGACACAACCAACCCCAAATTTATTGAGACAAGAAGATTGTTGTCGTTGTTGTTGTATGCATTCTGAATTTTTCGATTATTCTGAATCCTTGGGGTGTGTCATCTACTTGCTTTTCCATATCTTGGCTATTTGTAGTGTATTTTGTTCATTTATCTGGAGGTGGTGTTCTTTTCCCCTTCTTTTTTTTTTTTTTTTGCATTAGGATCTAATTCTGCCATCTTTCATGATACATTGTAAAGGTTCAAGGAACAATCAGCCTTTTGCGCGGTGGAGTGTTAAGCTTTGGGCTAGCACATTATTCGATGTCAGAATTTGAATTATTGGCAGAAGAGCTGTTAATGGGTGATTCTGTAATTAAAGTAAGTGGATGTCTGATTTGTGGTAAATTAATTTAATTTTCCTGCATAATGATTTTATCATTATTTTCATTATTGAGACTTTGTAGCCTGCTAATTTCTAGAGTAAGTGGCAATTCTTCTGTGTTCCCTTCTCCATTTAATTTTGATCTCCTTTACATGCCCATTCTCTTGTTATATCATATATGTTTTCAACTTTTTACATGGTCATAAAATTGGTAGACTCTTGGTGAATAAGATTGGTTCATTGTTTGTTTTCTTTGAACTGTATTATGTGGATGCGCTTACTCGTAATTGATCTTGGTATATACTCATTCCATTTAAATTTAATGGCCTCTTGATGGAGAATTAGAAGGAATATTATGTTTATTTAGCTTTCAATTTTAATGCGTATTTTAGGAAACGTTATTAGTGTTTGATTTTTTACCTTATATAGCATTTTCTTACTTAGAATAGGGTCTTTTGAAACCCTATATAATGGATCAACTTTTGATAATGAAATGAATTGATATTCTCCCTCCAATTTCTCTCTAGTCTCTCCCTCTTCTCTCTTCTCTCCCTTCTTTCTCTTCTTCTCTCCCCTTTCCCTTTCTTCTATAATTCTCGTATTGCATCTTGCGTTACCTCTATTCCTTTTCTATTTTAAAAGGACATATTACTAAAAACCAATATTTTTTATGCTTGCTACCCACTTAGGAATGGCCTCTCAATTCAGAAACTAGCCTGACTACTTTTGAAATATAGATTCAACCTTTAAATTTCCCCATGGTTCCCTCTTGTTCTTCTCTGAATTCAGCAGACCTCTACTCTCTCTCTGCCACTCCTTCCCCTCGTCTGCCACCATCAGCCTCATTTGACCCGAACCTTGAAACTGAATACTGTCCCCATTTCACCAATCACCACCATTATCTTCCAACCCCAGCAACTATAGCCGACCTAGTTTGCTGCACTTGCATCACTACATTAAATTAACTACCACGACACCTGTAACGTTTAGAACTATCAACCTTCCCCTTACCATCCCTATCCTTTTTCTTAAAAACAAAGGCAGGAATATGATTGATTTAAGGTTTTTTATGGTATTGGTATTCGTATTTTGAGGGATTTGGGGAAGTTGTTTTTAGGGATGATGGTAGCCTTTTCCTTTTCGCCTTTTCTGCTGATTCTAGTGCTTTTGAGCTATTGTATCAGAGTGTTATTATCCTTTTTCCTCCATTTTTTTTTATTTCAATCTCTTCTGTGTGATTGGGGGCATTGGAAGGGGGAAGAGAGGTTGAAGTGTATTGTTAGATCCTTATAAATATCGTGAGCTCAGTTGCATAGAATTGAGTGCTTGCTTGGCTAAGCTTATAAGTTCTCATATGGTGTGCCCCAAGGAATGTTTGGTTAAAAAGCAGGTAAAAGTTACGGATCTCATGGAATTTGTGGATAAAAATTGAGCTTGATAAGCTTATAAGCAACTCTAAACTTTTCCCCACATACTCAAGTCTTCACAAGCTTAACAGCAGTTAGTTGTGTTTCGGGCAGGGAAAAATTGGTTGAGATTTGTGAAGAGAGAATGATCGTTTGGATAGGTCATATTTGATTTCATCTTAATTTATATACTTGTTCTTCATTAAGTACACATATATAGAAAAAATACGAAAAAATACCATTTATATACTTCCATTTATATACTTCAGTTGATGAGTTGAATTACAAATAGACCGAAAGGGATTGCATAAACAGCTTCTTCCTTCATCATTCCTGCAAATTATGCTGCAGTAATCAGGGGTTTCCAGTTCCTGTTGCATACAAAAATCAGTGGAACTTATTTGGGTTGTGCTGTGATTTTGGCAAATAGATAAGAGTTATTAGCTCTCTCTTGCTGGTGAAGTCTTTAAATTATTAAATGATGTGGAGGCATGTAAGTTTGGTCGAAACCAAAAGCCAATTGTACAGGAAAAAAAGCTGATCGGGGAGGGGCGCAAGTAGTTTTTTTTTGTTTTGTATATAATTTTAAGTAGATTTTCTTATTATGTAGATACTTTTCTCTGGTCTCATTATTTTTGTTCCAATTGCGATGCTCTCTCCATCCTCCTTCCCTTCTGGAGTTCCACTGTCATCTTTTAGAAGCTTCTTCGCATGTGCGACCATTCAATCTTTATAAATTGTCGTGATTCTGTTTCTTATCAACAATCTAATTACTGTAGCTTGTACCAGCATTTTGTTTCTCCGCTGTGATGCATTATATTAGTTAATGATTCAAGATGTGCTTTTCTCATTCCCAAAATTTCCCAGGTTTTTGGGGCTCTTCGCATGTCTATCAAAATGTTTTTGATGTGGAATTCAAGGATGCTAATAGATGGAGGTGGAGATGAAAATCTTGAGACATCACTACTTGAAGCTAGTAATGTTATAGTTCTCAAGGTGAGCTACTGGCTCTCTGTTTCCAATAAATTCTTGCTCTTGGCCTTCGTACAAAAAAAATTCTTTCTATTTTCTTGCACAGGAGTCATCTCTTATTCATTCAAACGCAAATCTGGGAGTTCATGGGCAAGGTTTATTAAATTTATCAGGACCAGGCGATTGCATTGAAGCCCAACGTCTTGTATTAGCATTGTTTTATAGCATAAATGTAAGCAGAAACTCCCATTTTTATGCAGTATGATGTCATCTGTCATAGTTTGATATATATACTTGTGGAGAAGGATCTTTGGTACAGATTAGCCAGCAAATTCACCAGTATTCTAGTTTAGAACTAGACAGACTGGTGCGTTACCTCATTTCTATTTGATTGACTATGATGTTTTCCATGAGATTCCATAGTTTTGGTAATATGTGCTTGTAGAGAAGGATTTTTTGTTTTTTTCCCGATTTATTCCATTATTCTATTTTAGATCTTCAATTACTAATGCATGACCTTGAAGTTTCTGTGCTTATTGACTAAAGTGTCATCAGTGAAATTTCATAGTTTTGGTACATGCTCTAGAGAAGAATTCTTTCATATGCATTCCCAGCAATTCTGTCGTTCTATTTTGGATCTGAAACCAATCATGCATGACCTTTTTCTTGTATCTTTTTCATTTAGGTTTTTTACTTGTTAAGCAAATATGCTTTTATTTCTAGCTTCTGATTTAGCCTCTATTTGGCTAATTTATAAATGATTTATAATGATCAAATTTTATTTTCAGCCAAACATTTCAATGGACACACAAGTACTATTTACTCATCGACCACTCATTTCTATTTGTTTATATATTAAGCCATTTATAAATTCTTTCCAAATGGAGGCTTAAGTATTCTGTATTGAGATATTTTCCAATTTTTTTGGGTTGCAGAAATTTCTTGTTTTTCTTCTTTATGCTTAAGTCAGGCTTTCACACATCGGACTTTGTTTAGGATCTAGGTGTTCATTGTGCCCGTGCTCTGGGAGAAATCGGCACTTTGCCTAACCTGAGAATTTACTGAACATTGTTGTCTTAAAAAATTAAGTGATCAAGTTGTAGTTAGTGTATGTAATGTTTGGTATGCTTATTTGAGTTTTTCTTTTGGGGTTCTCATATCATCATGAAGATTGGACCTGGATCTGTTCTGCGCGGTCCTTTAGAAAATGCCTCGGATAATGCCGTGTAAGTTATAGCATTTAATTTTTCTCTTTCTGACATGTGCTGCTTTTGACTTCACTGAAGATTGACCTTTGGTGCTTGGTAGGGTGCCAAAGCTCCACTGTGATTCACAAGATTGCCCAATTGAACTGCTGCATCCACCTGAGGATTGCAATGTGAATTCTTCTCTGTCGTTTACACTACAGGTGAACATTTTCTGCAAATAAAAATCATAAGAATTGGTATATAGCTATCATTGCTTATTTCCTTGAATTGTTTCTCCATATTGTCATGCCCACACTGGTGCAGAATTGCAAAAATTTTCTTATATAATACTTGTTTGTTCTGCAGATCTGTCGAGTTGAGGATATCCTTGTTGAAGGTTTCATTGAAGGATCTGTTGTTCATTTCCATAGAGCTAGAACCATTACTGTGCATTCTTCTGGAATGATAAACGCATCTGCTAGGGGTATGGTTCCAATCTCTTCGATAAGATCCGTCCCTGACAGCATTCTTTCTCCCCTGTTCTTTCTTTCTTTCCTCCTTTAAATACACAAATCTTAGTTAACTGGATACTTTCCCATATTATTTATACATTATTGAATTGTTAACACTTTCACTAAAACACATATTCTTAGTCATTGCCATTATCTATTATTGGACGTATTTATAAAATTTCATAATAATTTGAATGATTAAAAGATCTTCTAACGTCCTAGAATACAAGGTATAGATGGAATCCTACAATCAAATGACATATACTGTAGGTCATACTTCATACACAAAAATTTCACATACTTAAGTTTGCCTTTTGTTTTTGGTCCTGTGGTACAAAAAAGGTAAATATATTTTCTGGAGTCATCTTTGGCTGTCAGAAATGATAAATATGTACTGCAAAGTGTCACCTAAAGCTTAGAAGATAAACTACCTACTGTCAGTTTGAATTGGAGAGGTTCGTCTTCCTTGACTTCACAAAGAAGATGTTTTTGCATTGAACTTGTAGAATAAAATAAGTTTGTAATGTGCTACAAGACATAATAAACTTCTCTATGTTTATAGATATATATAAATCTATTATAGATCTCTCATAAATAGCATCGAGGAATGTTTAGAAGAAAAGATTACTTGTTAGTGTAAGGAAATAATTTTTTTTTTTCAATGTGGAATGTGATTCTGAAGATTTTCTCAGTGATAAGAGATTTGCGTTATGTAAAATATTAATTATAAGATCATTGATTGTGTTGGAGACTCTGTTGTCTGCATTTGCATGGTTAAATCATATTATATTTGTCATTTTAGTTTGTTGTTTATGCAGGCTGCACTGAAGGCGTGGGTCAAGGAAAAGTTTTGAGTAATGGTCTTGGCAGTGGTGGCGGTCATGGCGGTAGAGGTGGAATGGGGTGTTACAATGGAAGCTGCATTGAGGGTGGCATATCATATGGAGATGCCGATTTGCCTTGTGAATTGGGCAGTGGAAGCGGAAATGATAGCTTGCTAGGGTCAACTGCTGGTGGTGGTATTTTAGGTCAACTCAGTCTATGAACTGGTCAATTGTGGTTTTTTTTTTTCTTTTTATTTATTTATTTACTTTTAACGTGGTAACTCTGAATTAGTCAATATGAAAATCATAGTGCTATTCAATTGCTTTTGTCATCTCTTTGCCAGCCTGAAATTTTTTGAGTTTTTCGTATTGCTCATTTTCTGTGGGTGAGGCTTCTGATATTGGGATTCAGTTTGATAAATGCCGTAGATATTTGATGAGTAATTAATTTTGTAATGGTGGCATTTTATAATCAAGAAATGAGTGGGCACTAAAAGGTTAAGAGTATTTTGTAAGGCACACTAGCTACACATTGCTTTCAAAATTTGTTCCAGAGTTGCATGCATTTATCTTATTTAGCATCACAAATGTTGTATCTTCAGCGATTTTCTTATTCTCTCATCTCTCTTTTGCAAGCCTATTTGACTGTTTTCTGGATGCCCTATACGATGCTGTCAAATTTATATTATGCCTCTGGTTGGTTAAGATAAAAATCAGATTTTTAGTCGATTTTGATAAAACTTGATGGAATGTATGGTTAAAAAGTTGTGGGTCCCATGAAATGTGTGGTTTAAATTGTTGACCTTGGCTTAGATTTTAATATATATTTTTTTTAACTGAAACAAACAAGGGCTACATCTTTTATATGCTCTATTTTTCGCCTTTCGGGTTTTTAAGGTCTTCTTCTAATACACTTTTATAGGGGCAGGGAGCTGTTTAACCACAGCTATACACAATTTGCTTCTGAAAGTTGCAATTTTATTTGTTCAGTTCAAATTCCTGCCTTTTTTTGTCCTCGAGCTGAGATTAACTTCTCCCCTTTTTTCCCTCTCTTGCTATTTTTCCTTTTCTCCATTCCAGTGTTAGGTTCTTCAGACCATCCTTTGAACATTTTATCTGTTGAAGGCTCAGTTAGAGCTGATGGAGGAAGTTTTAGGGATAATCTCCGAAAGAAGAATTTCATTACAGATGTTGAGAATATTGGACCCGGGGGTGGATCTGGTGGAACTATCTTGTTGTTTCTGCAGACTCTGGCTCTCGATGAATCTGGCATTTTGTCAAGTGCTGGAGGTGATGGTAGTCATAGTTGTGGTGGCGGCGGTGGCGGTGGGAGGATTCATTTTCATTGGGCAGACATTTCTACTGGTGATGTATACCAGCCAATAGCTAGTGTGGGGGGAAGCATCGATACAGGGTTAGTTTAAATACTTCCACAACAGACACAGACAAATTTGTCTTGTAGAATTTGACTTTTGATCACCAATTAATTATGTTATTAAACTTTTCTGTTTACCTTTCCATCCTTTATACCTGTTTGAATATTATCTTAAATTCCTCATCTTAGATAATCAAATTTTGTTTTCTGATCTCTAATAGAATTTGACTTGTCTATTAGTAGGATGAGTAACGTAACTTTAGATAATTTCCCTGGAAGCACAGAATTTGAATGTTAGGAAAGTAAATAGGAACCGTCCCTACTGCAGAACTTCAGATGAACTTTGTCTCAGCAATGAGGTATTGAGACCTTTGAAAGAAATAAGAGGTGTTTATTGCTTAGATTTTGCAGTCACTTAGTTGTCTATGAGTACATGCATGCATTCATGTGGAAGGATGAAGTAAGCTCAAGAGGGATGTTTGTATTCATTTTCAGTAGAAGTCAGGCGTGCATCATACAGTTTCCTGTTACCTAGTCCTTTCATTTGTATCTTCACCTTAATTTGGACTTTTCTTTCTTTTTATTCCCCCCTTCCCCTTTTGATCATCCATTTTGAATGACAATGTTTATTAGATTAAAGCTATGCCTCAGGTATCTGCTTTCTTGTTTTTATTTATTTTTAGGTAATATTGATGCAGGAACAATCCTTAAGAAAACGTTATCATCTGCATAGTTACTTTATGTACTAGTTCGCATTCATATGTTCCAATATCATTTTAAAACCACTCTATTTATTTTTTCCTAGGCAGTTAATTAGAAACTTAGGGGGACCTTGAGGCCACTCCCCTACCCCAAGGGGAGTGGTTTATTTAACAGTTCATCTATGGATATCACGATATGCATGCAGTGAGGATGATGGAGGCACATTGTAACACTCAAAATTGGTACTTCTTGTTTTTGACGATATATTTTACCTAGCCAGATGAGCAT